GACAAGCCCGAGATGTGATATCGGCCCGAGTGTGCCCCGTGTGACAACACACTTGTCTCTCGGCTGACCCCTGAGGAAAGCATTCCCAATTAATCATAAAACGCACAGGTCGAAACTGTCTCCGTCGAGATCGCCTCCGCACACGCCCTCGTACCGAGCCTGTTGCGTTTCATCCGTTTCCCAATATTTTGAAAAGCTACTGTTATCGATAACAGCGGTGTTATGGCAGGTGCCCTCTAGGGCAACCTTCAATACTGTAACAGTAGTGTTATCACAGGTGCCCTAGGGCACCGTTTATAACACAGTAGTTTTTCAGAAGATTGCGAGAACTGGGCATGATCCTCAATATCACTACAATATCACCACACATGCAGGAGCCTGTGCGTTGCGTTTGGCGACATACTGTGTGTCGCGCCGGCACTGTCGCACTGGGCGGATACCGCAGGTTGTCCCCTAGCTGATATTGTGCCATAATTTTGTCAGGCGGGAGACAATGTGGGGGTGTTGCTCAATCTGGACGGGCAGCGGTTTTAGATGGATGTGGTGAACGTGAAATGATGCAAGTTGCAAGTAATTCAAAAAAACAAAAAAACTGCTGTAGCAGCAATGTGTTTGTTGTGCAGCGCTTGGACGGTAGTGGGGCCCTTGAACGGGGAGATTTCGTGTTGGACTGGAGAATTGTGGGACGTGTTTCAGTGTGAACGGACAACGGTTTGAATGGGATGCGGTGGGGGATGAAGCGAAGCGAGTGTGCGGGTTGGAGTGCAAGTGCATGAGTGGGGAGGAATTCAAAAAAACGGGATTTTCTGCACATACCCTTAAGGGTAGCGTAGGAGGGATCTTTTTTTTTTTGGATGCACTTGTTGGAAACGGGGCAATCGGACAGCGTCTGAGGTTCAAGTGGATATCTACGACAGTCAAGGATTGGAGAAAGTGTGGGGGTGAGAGCGGGGCATGGGATGGGTGCGACAAGTGAGAAACGAGACGAAAAGAATAGGTTGGCGGCGGTGAGGAGGGTCTGAAATGGGCTGGCGACAGTACATAGCATTGTCAGAGGGGTAGTGTATGTGGACTGCAGAGAATACAGTGCGGTAGTATGGCGGAAGAATAGATGAAGGGAGTGTAAAGAAAAAGGGGGGAAAGAGAGGTTGTTCAAACTCGTCAACAGCACCAGTTGTGGCGCCGAAAAGCGATTCAAATTTGAGCGTGCGAGGCCGCGTCTGCATCTGGGCAGCGCAGGGAGCGCTGGATCAACTCAGGGTCAACTCATAGGCGTGTGTGTTTTGCCGGGACGCGAGGTGAAACAGGGAAGGCGGGGCGCCAGGCGAGTTGAGAGAGTGAGATAAACTTTACGGTATATACAGTACCCTTGGGTATTACGTTTCCCTATGGGGACGGAGGGGGAGAGCGAGGTCGCGCGACGAAGGGGCAGGGGCGGAGGAGGCGTGACGCGGTGGAGAGGCGCGCACGCTCTCGCATGCGGGACTGGGTGCACGCTGCGCGGCGCGCGCACGTACAATGTACTTGGGTATGTATCTATCTCGACGCGGCGGTCTTGGAACGGGCGCGATCAGCGTGCACGCTTTAGGGTCTTACATATCGCGTATGATAAAAAACTTTATTTACAACCAGGGAGAACCCGCGTGGACGCCGGGCCGCTCGCATAAACGCATACACGGCGCGGCGGCCCGGGCCGCGCGGCGAGGCGCCGCGTGAATTAAGAGCGGGCATCCGTGCAGCCGGAGCGATTAGGGGGTGAAAATACAGAGGAAAATACTAGAAGAAGAAGATTAAGAGAAAAATAAGCACCGACAGACGGTAGGTACCCTTGGTACTGTACCTCCTATCTTATTACCCTCGTCTTCCGACGGACGGAACTTTGACCTCTACCTCGAGGTACGACGTTTGAGAGTCTTCTCTGTGAAGCGCTTGGGGGAGGCAGGCTCTTGGGGAGGGGGGGCGGGGAAGGCGGAGAAAAGCGGGCGAGGCTGGAACGCATGCGCCGACAGAAGAAAAGCCGCAGCCTGTGCAGTGCACAGTGTGCACAGGGGCGGTGAGGGGGGGCGCGTGCCTGGCGGCAGCGAGGCGCGCTGTGCCCAACGGCCCCGTACGGACGGTTGATCGGGATGCCGCACCCGCATCCAGATCAGCGGACTCGTTTACAGCGCGGCGCGGTGCGTGCGTTGGACGGGAGAACCCGCGTTGGACGCGCCCGCGGCTGCCGGCTGGTGGAACGCGCCATTACAGCGCGGCCCCGGTGGCGCGCCCGGGGGGGGCGCCCCGCGGCTGCGTGACGCGCGTGTGGCGCCCGCACCGCAAGCCATTGGGCAACCGCCAGTGCCGCGAGCCATTGGGCGCCGCCGGTGCCGGGCGAGCAGTGGCCTCCTGTCCGCGCGGGGTT